ATCATTGCGTGTAGTCGTAGAGTTCTTCTCCGTCGGTGCAGAGTCTACTTGTTTGAGACAGCTCCTGATCACTGGTGAGGTAATTGGGTTCTCCTCTTCCACTACTCTCCTCATTCCTTCATGGTCGTGTTTAAAATCCCTTTTATTATTTCTTTTGGCGGTGTGTTGAATAAATGTGGGATGAATTGGAGAAAAATCTCACCGGTCATCACTCCTTCACCTGGTGGACGCCCGACTAGGGCATCTTGACGTCCCGCCAGTCGCTAAGCCGCCTCTTCTCTGTGATTGGTTCCGTTGCTGCACGCTATCCTGTCTACCACGGGTATTTAAAATAGGATGAAGTGACTTATAGCCGTCTGTCGTATTGACGACATTTCTGCAGTGCACTTTCTCAGAATGCGTAATTTCCCAACTTTACTACTTTATAAACGTGTGTAACTCAAATAAAAGCTGGGAAAACTCACCACACTGCCTAAAATCTGTATTGGGTCTTATGAGTGCGGTTTCGAATCGCCTCGGCAAGCAAAACAATTGCGGTGGAGGAGGAGCGTACACAGGTTTGGCATAGCCGGTTGGCTGCTGCCATTAGACTGTCTCGACAACCCTTCCCTGGCTGTGCGGCCGTGGTGCTTTCATACAACTGCTTACTTAAACTGGCGTTAGTAACATCCTGCCACGACTTATCCCTCTCTTCATTCAGGTCGCCTAATTCGTGGTTGAGGTTTGCCGCCTTTATTGACCATAGTCTACTTACAACAATACAAGTAGCATTTGTGACCGTTAAAATTGTTACCTTGATTGTCTCATCTTCCATCGTATCCATTCCATTCTCATCCCATTTGTTAATCAGCATTTTACAAAGTATGATTAAAGGGCTCACTTAACTCACAATGCCACCGTTTGGGTAACTGTACTTGGACGGTTCGTTTGGTCTGATGGCCCACTTATATTCTAGTCAGTAGCAATCGGCCTCTACTTAAGCCAACTCACGTCTGATTTCTTCTATTGTTGATGGTAGTTTTCTTCTCGAATGATTCGCCTCCCACTCGAAGCTACATGGGCCGGATGGGCGGCGGTGGAGGCAACAGCGGTGCTGTCAGTGGTGGCAGCCAAGGCAATCAACCCGGTGGCGATTCAAAAGACATTCGGCGACGGGTCAGTCATAACGAAGGTGAATTGTCTTCGACTCTTAATGCTCATAACTTAAGTATCGGCGTTGATGCAATTTGCGTCTTGTGTCTAGTGGAACGACGACGTCGAGATCGAATTAACACGTGGATTGCCGAGCTTTACAAACTCCTTCCGCCGGAACAACAGGCAAAATCACAATACCAGAGTAAAGGCGTCGTGCTGAAACGCGTCTGTGAGTACTTCCAGAATTATGACTCCAACCTCAAGGCGGTGAGTGGGTCTAGTGGGAGTGAAAGGTTTCCAAAGTATCGGGTGATGATTGTGCTGCTCAACTTTTTGACAGTTACGAGAGGAAAACGCCATATTCAAACAGGAGATATGTCGTCTCACACGGGAAAATCACATCCTTCGTGATAGTCTGAAAGCGCATTTCCAACAACAACAGCAGCAGCAACAACAACAACAACAGCAGCAGAGTGCGACAATGACGACGACAGTGTCCACATCAAGTGAGGTTTCAAAGGCGCCATCGCCTTCAAAGCGGTCGCACTTCTCCACCGACTAGAGAGGAAGTCATTCATCCACCTCCCTTCCCTCTACTACCTTGTCTGACATCAGTCTTTCATGTCAATCTACTCACTCACTCACTCACTCCCTCAGTCAGCCATTTTTCCATCCAAAGTGTTCGTTCATTTCCTCCATCCCCTTGCATGTGTTTGTGTGCGTGTGTGTAATGCAATGGGAGCACAAAGAGGTAATGTACACATTCATTGGTTTATTATTCTCCCTTCCCTCCTTCCACCTCTACCGCTCAGTGTCTACCTTTTTTCCCTTTCTTTCCTCCCTCTTTCCACACCTTCATGAGCAATGATGAATATTGACGAAGCAACCAACCAATCCACCAACCAACAGACATTTGATACCGCAATTTTAGCGCTTCTTGACTTTCCCTTCCATCTTACTTGGTGTGATCTGCCTGTGTCGAGGTGTTTGGCGAGTCGGTGTGAGGAGTTGATAAGACACACGAGTCTGGAAGTCGATTTGTTGCTCGTCTATGGAGGGATCAGAAAGCACTTGGATTGGATAAGCGGTATGAAGGTGTTGGGGAGGCTAAAGGAACTTTAAGCATTTGTTTCACCGTGGCGGTGAGCCACGACGGGGTGTGTAACGCCTTAATACGCGTCGTTTCCCTTCAGCGTTTTGACGCCTTTTCCACTCATCGTCCATATTTGTGAATTCATTAGGCTCAAACATAGTGAATTGAGGTGGAGGTTCATCGGTCTCAAATACTTTGACATCTCAAGGCCACCCGTGACGATGTCACTCACTGAAGTTTCAATCGCTCTCATGACTTTTTCACGTCCGGTATCTTGGAGTCGGAGGGGTAGAGGCAAGCTGATTTGGTGACACCTCTGCGCAGGACATGAAAGTCAGGCTACTGAAGGTGGACGAATCATTCTCCGACCTTCATCACCCTCGGTCTTTTAAAAGGCCGGGGGAGGGAGATGGATGTGCTTGATATCCACGAGTGGGCCATGAGTCATCGGAGAGGCCTAGCTGTCAAATTTGTCACCAATCTTGGTACAGACTGAATGCGAGAGCCGGAGACATCACCACACCGTCGATTGGGTGGGTTAATAAGGCAACTTTTTGAGGCAAAATGTAAAAGCAAGAAGGGAGGTGCAATACAGACAAGTTTGTGCTTCTTTTTGACAAAGCTGTGAGCTACCAGAAGACAGTGACAGCATTCTCAACTGCTAGAATGGAGTGGGAAAACTCAATTATTGTAAAATTGATAATAGTAGAAAGTAGTGTGGCCAATCATGAAATATAACGCCCTACCGTGGGGACGTTACAAGGCAGCAAGGTGTCACGTGCGGCGAGATTCTCCCTTCCCTACATCATGTGATGGACTGAGGTGAACTAAGCGATTGGTTTGCTGGTTGGTCGGGTGGGTGGAGTGATGCACTGCCGTCTCTGATGCCTTGAGGGGATTTTGGATTACGTGCAATTTAGTCGTCACTTCATTCATCATGGCAATGTATCTTCGTTGACTAAACTGACGTATGATGGAGCCGCTTGACCTCACACTTTCACTCAAGTGGTGTCACCACAGGTGTTTGAGTTGTTCATCAATTGCTGCATCGGATCTGCAAAAAAGACAGGGCTTACAACGTAAATCTCCTATCCAGTAATCAATCACATAATCGGTTTGAACGCAAACCCTTCCTAGAGCCACCATCTGCCATCAACACAGCGTCCAAATCTCCTTCAAAGACGTTGAAATTTGGGCGAGTATTGAGGCACAATTTTAGCAATGACGTTGGTCAGGGTTGAGACAGTTTGAAAATGGCACCATCGTAGAGGTAGATTTCTACGATTTCTTAGCCACACTACCTCCTACTTTTAGCAACAAATGGTTGTTTGGATGGGAGAGTTGTTTTAAGCGTCAAAAAGGCATTCTTTAGAGCATCTTGGTTCAGTGGTAGTGCTGGAGACTTCCGATCCAATCCATTATCAATCCTAAATTTGACTTCAGGTGCGTTTGGAAGTTGCATATGTACAAGGAATGCGGTTGATTGTTCACGATCCAGATTTTGAGAGAGTTGCAGTTGCGTATTTCTGGAGTCCTTCAGCTTTTCGCCGACCTTTAATCTAATGGTTACAACAAAAACGGCACAAAAATAAAAACACACTACTGTTGTTATTTTAGTAGAAGTTTTTAGGTGCTATTCAAAAGTGCATGGTCATATAACATCCTTGCAGACTGATGTATAAGGCAGGAACAAACATGCGAGGCCAAGTCACTAAGTTGTCATCGAAAACTCTCCACAAATCAAGATTAATTAAATCCATTTTAAGTCGATTAATAGCTCTTGCGCTACGGTTTCCTATTCAGTGCTAGCAACGGCGAAGTTGCTAACGCATATACTTTACTAGCATCTCTTTTGCTAATCTCCATTAATCCCCTCCGAGAGGCATAAGAGGTATCTGTTTATTTTGGACTGTCCATGGTCAATGGCAAAGATGCCGTTGCCTAAGACAGGTCTCAATTTATGCAAACTGTCACGTTTCGACGAGTGGGTTCAGAGTTTGGCTGCCATCCTCTCCATACACGCAACCGCCTTTTCCCCCCCCCTTACAGAAGGGGGCAAAATGAAGAAAGTGTCACGATCGTATCTAAGATACAATCATATTTGCAGACGACAAGACGATGGTCTCAAATAGGAGTTTAATGAATGAAACAGGTTAATTTTCACACACACGCGACAGACGAGTCCTCCTCCTCTACCTCCACCGCATTCCTACGAACTCACCAAATTAACCACCGATTTCCTTTTACTAAAAAAGAAAAGAAGGCAAGTTTAGAGCGGTGTTAATGGCAGTCGTATCCTCCATCTTTTTTCCTTCTTAAGTGGACAAATAATTTGGTTGTTTGCAAAGCGTATCGGATTGGTTTGGACTGACCGTTACTCCAAGAGGTCATACTAAGGCCATCCAGAGGGCGCCATAACGCCAACTAGACGCTGTTATCTGGATACAACTCTCATTCAGGATGGCAAGATATTGAAATGCAAGAGAATTTCATGTTATGTGCTTTCAGCTTAACTGCATCGCCCTC